CGGAGACTTGCCACGGTCTCCACCCCTCCTCCTTTCTCATCCGGGCTTGGGACCGGCCATGGCGGAGTTTAAATACAGATTTTTAAAACCGAAATAAACGGATACTTTTAGGCTTAAATCCAGAAAAATGCCTTAATTTTGTTTAAGTGTGCTTGAAGAACACCTAACGCACTGTTAAATTTTCCTATCCCAACATACGTTAAGAAATGCTTATATGATGCAGTCATATCTAAAAAATTTTAGACACGGCGATTATGAAAGAAGGAAAGTAAGCTGCGTACTCAGGCCACATTGCAACGTGGTTCAAGAAAATTCAACCGTTTTTCAGCGCTGTATATTTTCATCTACTGCTGGTTCTTCGAACTTATGTATGAAAATGGAAGTATGAATGACAGGATAATTTATTTAACAGCATGCAAAAAATGAGGACATGGCGATGGTTGGCGGTAGATTCATTGCAACTTCCTAGTGTCAATGATCAGGAAATTCATTTTATTTCTTTACAACCATACTATACATGCAAAATAGTTAGCACCTAGTCAGCTTTTGGAAATCGTTGTTTCGAAATGAAGGCCAAATAACATACACGACGTCATCAGTGAGCACAGATTCGCATAATTTCATTATATTTCTGTGCCCTTGAGTCATTTCATTCGATTAATGCTGTTTTGTCGGCTACAATTTAAAAGAATTGAATTTCAATTTCCATTCTTTAGTATTTAGTATTCAAACAAGCATAAATGTATTGTACCTACGAATCACATAGATATCTACCTTATTTTGTGATGGCCATGACCTAGCACGTAAGGTCAAGGTGATGTGGGTCGATGAATCACTATCAGTCATCAACATGGTCGCATGGCTGTTATTTACAGGTGAAAGATAGTGGTTCCACGTTGAGCAAGCTTTGTATTTAAGAAACTGACCTATTCTCTGTCAGGTAGACCAGTTTGCCTGCGACGCAGTAATCGCAAGAAAACGGGATACCATTCGTCATCCAACCACGAGTCGGTCGAACTTAGTCATCGTCGTTTCGAACGTCGCCACGGTTCACTCGTCATTCGGTCTCGTCTTCTTCGAGCATGTCCACCGCACTGGCATTTCACCGAGAGGCGGGAAAGCCGTTCGAATGCCCTAGCGTATGTTCGCGTTTCCTCGTTCCTCACCCTCATCTGTCGTAAGTGATTTTTCCAGATTCCCGTCGAACTAAGGAAACGTCAGGTAACCGGTCCCAGCGGTGAAATTCAGTATCGATGCGGCTTCAGAATCGGCGGTGGCATCGACCAGGATCCGTCGAAATCTCCTTATGGATATCCCGATTCGGTACTGCCCACTTAGCCACAGACACAACTCATCATCTGTTTATTATAGGGCATTTATATCACCCACATAGAACCAGGTGGACCAGCCGAAGCTGCGAAACTGAAAGTTCACGATAAAATTCTCCAGGTACTTGTCTAAAGAAGTACATGCGTGAAATAGAGGATAATGTGCAATCCTGTTGAATTTGCCAATGCTGCAATCAAGGGGTATGTTAGTATTATGAGCGATGAGAGTCATAAACTCAGTTTGAACTGCTTCGAGGCCAGTGAAAATATATTGCTGAAATGGTGTTCTTACGTAACACGGGAAATTCAGATGAGGGCAGTTGCTTAATCCATCTTCTCCCTCTGGAACGTTTCTGCTCGTGGTGATCCTTGTCATGGCCATCATGGTCTTAGTTTTAACAATCTTCGTCATGTTTGGTTTAATCATCAAGATGGTGATTATTCGTTCATGATGGTGATTGTTAACGATGGTGATGGTTAACGATGGTGATTATTCGTTCATGGCATCAGTCCTCATTCCATGTCAAGAGTTATGTAAATGTAAATGTGGCATATAACGAACTCCTGCATATGAATAGATTTTGATACTTATGTGACAGAGATTGATGTTGTGATAATGATAACATTCGAAATGATAAGCATGAGCATTACAGTCATGAGCGTATGATCATTGTTGTAATATTCTTTATTATTTAAAATACAAACAGTGGTGACAGTTATAAAGATACTTCCACTTTCCCACGCTAGCATGGTTATTAATGTCTTATGTTATCCATCATCCTGCATTTCCAGACAGCGTTCGTAATACAAGCATTACCAAGTGATCGTTTATTATCATAATCATAGTGAGAGCTGTGATTATGATATCGGTCACAGAGACGAGCGTTATTATGGGCATTACGTTTATTATGTCACTCGATAATTTTGACCAGTGTTAGTATGATTATAACGTATTATTTTGGGCAGCATGACTATTTCTAACATAGTAGTCGTTAATGTCTCTACCATGATAACGACTGTGATTATAGAGATACCGATGCGTATCACTGTGATGATCATAATAGTTATCACTGTCATTCATTGTCTGCAAATAAGCTATAATACCTTTTGATGATATGATATTCTCTACTCAGTGACCGTACCGGAACAATTAAATATGATCATAAAAAAGATGTCGCACTTTAAAATTAGAGGGCGTGCGCGGTTCCAGTGAGTGTGTTTTAAATAGAATTTGCTCTTGGAAGAAATCTAGTCTCTAAGTGTGAATGTTCTGATGATATTCATGAAACCGTTTTATCAACGTAATATACCACTTTTTAGATATTGCTAACTTACTGACTTACTGCAAGTAAATGTTTATACCTATACCCGTCATTTTTCCGGATTCGCACGGTATAGTAGCCAGGAGACCGTTAAGGCATGCCACGGTTCCGTGGTACTTTAGCACCTGAGAGCCAGTTGTGCAAAATAGTGCCATTTGTTGGCTCGAGCAAACACATTTTCGATCATTAACGGATATACCTCGATCCGCGGGAATATATAATAAAATTAAACTGCTCTCAGAAAACCAGCATTCGATGAAACTAATCCAGAGGCGTAACTGGATTATATTTAACTGCATATAGTTTCCTCATATGGCATAATATATAGGTACGTACCGGGGTCGACTGGTGCCGATTTGTTTTTCAGTCCAAACCGGTCGTCTGTGATTTTTGCTGCCTAAGCTTCAGAATGAATTTACTTCACGTCAGGAAGTAAATTTTTACGTACAGCAGATAGTGCTGAGACTTAGGGTTATGAGTAAATTTAACCATGATTGAGCAGAATCAAAATATTACCGGTTTGAACTGAGTCGCGAATCAGTTTCAGTCTATGCCGATGGAAACTGATTATCACTCTAGACGGTGACATATCTAATGTTTATAGAACATGTACTTCTCCACACTTTATGCACGATACATATGACGATATAAAATGTGTATAGAGTACATATAGAGTAATATATAATTTTGCTGCATATGTACTGTGAGCGTGCGATATATAATTGGATGAGCTGTGTATACTGTTTATCCATTTTTGATGCTGTTCTGAAGATAATGAGGGTGGTAGCGCTGTTAATGCTGTAGACGGTTTGCATCGCTTAACTATGGGTCACCCTATCTTGTTTATAATTACTGGATGAATACATAATTTAACTATAATTATGAGGTATATATCGTTATTATTAGTTAGATTACAGTCAGTTGGCATATCAGTTTATTAAGTAATATGCTGCCCTGGCGTCAAAACAAGTTTAACAGTTCCTTAATTCAGCATAGTCTTCAAAATCTGGTATCCATATAAAAGCCTTGTCGCCAGTAACAGATAACAGTTTTCTTAGCGTAATAATTCACAGATCTTCGCCCCATGGTGGAGTTCGAGATTTGACTCTTTAAGAATTTACTAGTTTTCTTAAAATGGTACTTCCAGTTGATTGATGGCCATTGAATTTTAAGCCAGTATGTGAACCGCGACCTGATAATTTCCTGACAACTGGGCGGTTGTAGCAAAGATGAAAAACACCACAAAAGTGCCTGCACTTTAAGTCTTCAAGTTCATTTCGGGACTCATCGAGATTGCTCGTAAAACACTACTTGTTCTTGTGCCCCCGCCGACTTAAATCAACTTGACCGGTTCAGCCTGGCGTACCATCGTTTTAACTACGAATCGTTGTAATGTTGTCAAAAGCAATAGTCTGTACTTACTCGTGAGTGCAATGAAAAACTTTCGACTTATAAATAGAACCAGTTTTCGGCCTGTAGTTGTTTTGCAAGCTGACGTGTTTCAGCCGAAGTTCGTTTAGGCTATGAATTAAAATGGCCTGTACTCTTCTCTTCGGAGCAAAATAGCTTATAGAGAAATGAAACCCTGAGAAAAGAGCGAATCGACCTGGTGGCGGTTTACATTATTATCTTTTCATAAATATTTTGCCATTCAGCAGAATGTGATGGCCATTTTTACCAATAATTACACATCTTTCACGGTAATTAGGTTTCCTTTACGTTCATCATAAGTATGGGTTTATAAGTCTATCGCTGATTGGTGCTGTGCCACATATTTTCTTAAAACTGGACCCACGCCTGGTTGGCTATATCTTTTCTGCCCACCGATTGGAAGACCTCCGTGCTTCGTGAAGGAAATGCTCTTAGCGACTGCTGGCTGTTCTGAAGAGTATTTTTTCACTGCCTTCTCATTAATTAATTACAAGATTATTAAGCTTCTCGGCCTCATTTGAAGTCTTGTCAAAGGGAATCAGCGAATTGCAAACGTCGATGTTCTGTTTCGTTTGGTTTGAGTCAAGAGTTCATCATCTTCTATTATTAAGTCTTCTGTTATATAATTGCCATACGACGTATAAGAGACATTTTGTTCGAGTGGTAATAAACAAGGACCGTTGCGTATGACAGATTGATTTTTTTAAAAATTCCTGTAGTACTTTTTAAAACTGATTGTTTGATCTAAGGATCTAAATCATTATTGCAATAATCTGCATAATGAAATCCGCTACGTGGTGCGGAGAAACGGCCGCAGAAGAGGTGGTGGTGATGCTAGAGCTCACAGGAAAAATTCCTCATCTGGAACTCGATTTGGCCGGAGTGAAGTAAAAATCCACGTTCTGTCCAAGATGCGTGGAAAGCGTTTACAGTAGCCAAACCAAGATTGAATGAAATGGGAAGCCCAAATAAAAGTAGCCCCAAGTCCTCTGCGTGCACCTTGAGTCAGACTAGCCCTAATTCTTAATAAAACGGAAAATTTCATTGGGAGGGAGAGTTCGTTTAAGTGTGTAGATTAGTTTTACGGGATTGCGAACTGTAAATAGAAGTTCTTACAGTTCAAAGGGAAAAAGTGTTTATTATAGGGTAACAACGGTGGTAATGATAAGTTGGTCGTGGTCGTTTTTCCTGTCCATTCAGTTTGCCGTGAAAGTTGTTTTCTGTACTGGCAAGCAGAATCTCTTTTCCAGTTGGTTTCTCTCCCATTTATTTGGCTTGCCTTTAACTGTGGTACCTGATTCTTCAGTATGCTGTACTTTGCCACAGCAACACCGATTTGCCTGCTCTGCAGACACACGGAACATGTTCCAGTCTCTTGTTTTCGAGCACTTTCTTCTCCTGAATGTGCAGATTCCTTCACTTCTACCCAGTTGCGTTTCCTGCTTTGTGCAATTCGTTTTTTGTTATGGTATATATATTTTTATCATTTTCTTGTATAGATGGTTTAGAGAATTGAATATTTTAATCTTTACAGCATTTCTAGTAGTGGATCATTTTATGCGAGGTGACAGGTGGCGTTAATATAAAGTCTATTCTAGGAATCTGCCTTTCTGGTGATTGTTTCCGTTAATTTAGTACGCTCTTCTGAACTGTTTCAGAATGATAAATTCGAATAGTTGTTTAGTCACAGTTCGTTGATTCGATTTCTGTTCTGTTGCTGACATGAGACGCGCTAAGCACATAGCTTGACATTTTTTGACCCTCCTGCCCACTGAAATCGAAATTGATGTAGCATCCGGCATATGTTGGTTTCTTGTGTACGATGGGTACTTTCTATATATGTTAATATATCCGGAACGAGAAACTTCCCATTTTTTTCTGTCGCAGACAAACTGCATGGTAGATGCGCGTTGAACTTATTGAGGCACGTGTTATGGGCTTAGCATCGTTCGTGTACATTAATAATAAGGTTACGGTAACTATTGAGGAATATTCGCATAGCCAGAACCTGAACCGGAAGTTCTGATCAAACGAGACCACAAAATGATGGGCAGCATGCTGCATTTTCATAAGAGCATGCTTCGGGCAAATATGCACAAAATCATGTCAACGTTTTTCGAACGATGAAATTTTTGCTGACTGAAATAACTAATTTGCTATTATAAATACTCAGTAAAGACAACGTCATAAGGAAAATAGACTAAGTTGTAATTTATTTGTTCCTTTTTAATTTTAATATAAAAGTTGTTAATTTTAGCGTAGTATAAGTAGAGTATTACTCCGCATAATAGGGGCACCTTGTTATGCATGTGTTTTTGAACATACCGTGATTTGCGAGCGGGGAAAACTAGCACGTATTCGTATCTACTGCTACTATATTAAACATATTATGCATATGTATCGCACTGATACTCCAAACTGGGCTTCAGGGTACATGACACTGTGTTTGTGATTTTATGCGATAGCCACATAAATGGTGACTGTTCTGTAATATTTGAACCTCTGTGCATTTTACACTTTATTCAGTTATAATATATTAGCAATATGATATATTATAATAGTTGAATATGCTACACAGTTTCTTCATGCAAAAAACGATATTTTCGTATATCACAGACGGAAGGACAACGCAGAATATAAACGCAATGTTATAAACATTGTCATCTATTTTGGACCAAGCTCGGTCCGTCTGCAGTTACAGTATACAACCATATGACATAACCCAACATGATAGTATAATAGGTAATTGTAATACGGAAATTGACGCAAATGTGATGTGATACTAAGAATCGATTGAAAGTTGAAAATTAATTGTAGCTAACTAGTTATAACTTGATCTTTCAGGTGAACGGCTACGATTTTACAATGGTGACTCATGAAAAGGCAATTAATTACATTAAGAAATACAACGTTTTGAAGATGCTTGTTGCTCGACAGAAGTGACGAACAGAGTTTTAGATTTCAAGACACTTGATATCATATCAGAAGTTACCTGTGATTTATTGATTTTTCTTTTGATTGTATACTACCGTTATGCAGTGATATCTAGATATTCAACCTGTAATTTGAAAACGTTTAATAAACACTTAGTTACATAAAGGATAAGTCCATCGCATTGTGATCGTCGCTTGATCATGATCATTCACAGACCCCAGGCTCTGTTGTACAATGAAGGAAAATACCATACCGTGTCTAAGCTGAGTGATTCTGTCACAGTAGAAATTGATCTTTCCCTATTGATTGAACAAAGACTTCGCACCTCAAGCTTCCCGTGTGGGAAACACAGCATGTGACAGACATCAGCAGAATGTGAATGAATACAGGCAAACTTGCGCTTGAATAAAAACAGTTCCTTCCATACTTCTGGAACCAATGTCTTGTAACACAGGTGTGTGGAAAAGCTGAGAATGAAAGATGTTCCGCTACGGAAAATGGCCCAAGGCTCTGACAATAAGCAAGAAAAGAGAGCACTTTTATAACCGCTATATGCACGTAGCTGAGCCACGTAACGTAATAACGTGATCTCTCTGATAACGTGATACTGTTTGAGTGGCGGACAGCACCAGTCGGCTACAAGACGCTGCCAGCGCTCGACAGAAAAAGTCTAAGCGACTCAAACTGCGAGTCAGTCGGCAAAAGACAAATACTGCGATTGGATGCCCTATCTAAGGACCAGGTAATATTAAAGGGTGAAAAAATTGGTCGATAAATAAATTATATACCTTGGCCAAGAGTTGAAAAGTGGGAGAGGTTCTACGGAGAAACAGAACCGGTTGATGCGCATTCCAATCCACTAAGGACGTCCTCTGCGACATCAGGAAAGAACCCTACACCCACCTCTGAAATTCTTCAATCATTCCGTTAATGTTGTAGGCATGGATGGGCCAGATGGTTACTCACGAAGGCCTATGAGCAAAGGGGTCATGTGATATGCATACTTCTCAGAGGAACATCAGCTTATGATGTGCAGGCCTTACGAATTTTCCTCTTCATTATCAGCTGGTAGTGCACTTTCCCATTTCTCAAATTACGGAGATCCGGAAAATAGTTATACCGTCAGTCACTGCAGTCAGTAGTTGCAATTGATCTTTTTCAGGTAGACGAGGGGTAATCCTAACTTCTGATTCCATTTATTGGATGTCATATTCAATATCAGGATTAACATATATAAGATATTCCAAACTGAAAATATCTGACAAAATGTCGCATTAAAGATGTCACCAATCTTTAGACTCATGTCTCAAATTACTCATCTAGCGGAAACTAAAATATACAAGATTTCAATTTTTCAGAATTCAGACAAGAAACCATATTATGAATATCCTACTAAAAAAAAGACACCAGAACAGCGATCTTCAGTGCCGTAATCTCAGTTCAGAGAAAAGACTTGTTCGTGAATCCATCTGTTGTTGTTTGTCATAATCACCTATAGCATCCTTGCAAATCTGTAGGCTGCTTAAGACTTGTCCAGTTACTGAGCTCATCAACAGCAGTGAGATGGTTGATATATATAAAAACAACTGAAGTGATTATAAATCGAAACTGGCCAGAGGTTTTTAACATTTCTAAAGGCGATATGAGACAGACAGAAGGTATAAAAAATATTTTCTAGATCTCAACGCCATAATTGGCCTTTTCTCCGATTAAAGTGGAAGCCGCTTATACCATTTAAAACTGAATTTCGAGGCTTATGGCCCGCGGCAGAGGTATATTTATATTGGTCAAAACCCCATGGTATTTGATCATCTGTCACGCTGGATGCATCTTACGATTAATAGTTTCTGTCTGTTTTGTGAATGTAATCGATGTCGGTCGTTTGAATTTAATATCCTATTAGGTAAGCACACGGTAACGTTCGCTTTGTACTGCTTTAAAACATTCAACATCTCGAATAAGCTCAAAGACAGACTAAACGATGAACTGTACTGTTAGAAATGGCAAAGGCAATTCTTATGGTAATGACAAAGTAATTCTAAACTTGGTAAAGATACAGCTGCAAACAGTGTCATTTTACAGACGCATGAATGTGAAACACATAACAGAAATCAAAACATGATGACAGTAAAAGGATGACCATTAATTTAACATTAATAATTGACCAGTCCGGTTCCAAGAGCATGAGAACAAACAAACCT